CTACTGCTGGTTATGGTTATTGCCACTGTTGTTATTTGATGATAATGATGATGACTGTTAACTAAACAGTCAGAATTGATAGAGTACTATCATACTGTAGGGACCAACAATGGGTGGTGGATAGAAAATGACCATTGAGCCCTAGCCAGTTTGGCTCAACAGATAGAGCCTCGGCCTGCAGAGTGAAGGGTCCTAGGTTCAATTCTGGTCAAGGGTGATGTAACCTGGTTGTAGGCACAATCTCAGTGAGGGGGGGTTGTGCAGGAGGCAGCTGATCACTGTTTCTCTCTCATAGATGTTTCTAACTCTCTAGCCTTCCTCTCTGTAAAAAAAAAATCAATAAAATATATATATTTTAAAAAAGAGATGACCATTGCTCCACCAGTGTGGTTCAGTTGGCTGAGGGTCATCCTATGGACCAGGAAGTTGCCAGTTCTATTCCTGGTTGGGAACATGGCCAGGTTTCAGGTTTGACCCCCAGTAGGGGACATACAGGAGGCAGCTGAGCCCATTGATGTTTCTCTCTTATCAATGTTCTCTCTCTCTCTCTCTCTCTCTCTCTCTCTCTCCCTCCCTCCCTCCCTCCCTCCCTCCCTCTCCCTCTCCCTCTCCCTCTCCCTCTCCCTCTCCCTCTCCCTCTCCCTCTCCCTCTTCCTCTCCTTCTCCCTCTCCCTCTTAGAAATCAATAAAAGCATTTATTATTAAAAAAAAAAAAGATGACCTTTAATTGCTTCAGGCTCCTCCTTCAACTTTGCACCAATTCACAGCCCCAGAACATTTAAAATAACAATATCCCTTAGGACAGTACAGCATATAAAACAAAAACAAACAGATTTCCTCCTCTTCCTACCAATGCCCCTGCCCATGTGTGGTGTTTCCTAGCTGCCACGTGTGGGACAGTTGGGTTTCATTTGCCGCCCTGTCTGCTGGTTGGGCCTCGGGAGCAGGGACAACCCGGCTCCAGGTGCTCATGCAGAAAGTCCAGTGGCCACTGTGCTTTAACGCCTCCTTGGCGGGGCGGGAGCCCACACCACACATGCTTATTCTACAAGCATCTTGAGCTCCGGTTTCAAATTTCCTTGCTTTCCCCAGTTAAGGACAGACTCTTGGTGTTAAGGGACCTGGAGCTGCTTACAGCCTCGGAGGCCAGAAATCTTGTTCAAACACAGAATTGCTAATTTGCAGAACCTCTGTCAGGAGAGATTTCTCATAAAATGGGCCCCAAGGTCGCTGTTTTATTAAATTGTTGTTGCATCCCCCTCCTGTAGCTACTCTGTAATTGGTGATAGCTGCAGCCGTGCCCAGAGGCTTCGGTAAGATGTGCCAAAACGAGCCAGGCGCTTCCAGGTGGGTGCATGAAGCAGGCGGGGGTCCCCCCTGAACAGCAGGCTCACTGGGCTGCGCACAGCTGGAAACTAACCCTTGGGGGGTTTAAAGAGGTCACCTGGCAACTGTGAGCCTCCTTGCACCCTGAGTTGCTGGAATCTGATATTTCCTGTTACTTGTGGAACGTGTTGTTGAGGTTAGTTCAATTAAACGCACATCTGTGCTCAGTGTAGCCCTGGCTGCCCCGTGTTATGTAACTGTGTATGTTCTTTTTGGGTTGGGAGTCTAATGGTTGGGACTATTACAGCTATAGGCACAGCTTCATGCACCTAGGAGACCCGGGGCTGGCATCCATGGTGGGGCTGTCTTTGGTGGCCTCTGGTTTTGTAGATGGTTGAGATTAAGTTATTTTTCATTCTCTCTATCTCCCTCCCCCAGTTCCTCCCCCCTCTCTTACACACATACACACACACACACACACACACACACACACACACACACACACAATTTATCAGTAAAAAGTTTGCTTCTAAGTATTATTTCTATGTCTCAAAACAGATACCCTGCCAGCAAAGCATTTATCTGCTTCAGATCTCTGTTGGGTGGTCAGGTCAACCACTGTTTGCCAACACACAGTAAGATAATCTCACAAAAACGAAGTGCTATAAGCACAAGGGACAGTGGCTTTGTGGCACCTCACCCTCTGTCCCATGATGCCCAGTCCAGGCATTGCAGGACTCGCTTTGGGCTACAGCTCATACATTGGCAAGAAACAGCACGTGTACCAAAGCATCCTAAAGTTTGCTCAGCTCACTGTCAGTATTTTATTTTCAATAACTCATGCAAACCCAACTTGATTCTTTTGTGTTGGGAAAGGAGAAAGGGAGAATTCCCGTGTTTGTAGGACCCAACGATGCTTTTCTTCTTTCCTTCGGATTGATTTTTAAGAGGAATTTTTGTTGTTGTTTTTAATAGCATCATCATTGCCCTCTCAGACCAGCCCCACAAAGCCTATTCCAGTGGTCAGCAAACTGTGGCTCTGTTGACTAATGAGTTTGTCCACCACTGACCTAGACTCTTGATTCCAATAATTACAGGCTGTTGTTGTTCCTTGTGATTAACCCCCTATTCCAGTGGTCAGCAAACTCATTAGTCAACAGAGCGGCAAACTGCGGCTCCTGAGCTGCATGTGACGCCTGAGCCACAGTTTTTGGACCACTGGCCTATCCTAATCTGGGGCGGTCAACCAGTGAGTGCCTCAGTTGCACTTCTTACCTGCCGAATTCTAAGTTAACCACTACCTCTGGCTACTGCAGAGAGAAGCCTGTGAAATGTTCTACCTCCACTTCCAGAATAAGTCCACCTGGATGCGCTCATGCTTACAAAAGGTGGGGGGCATCCCACCTCTTAACTCCCATCTGAGCAAGTAAACTTCGCCCAATAGGACGTGTTCTGCAGCCCTGGTGGGAGAACTGCTGGACAGCAAGAGAGGAAACAGATGGAAGAAGCGCCGAAGGAAGCTGAGAAATAGCCATCTGATGATGTCATTGAGAGCTGGACCAAGAACCACATGCTGCCCCTCCTCCCCCGCCCTGCTCCCCGCACTGCCCTGCTGGATGCAGGTGCATGGAGTTGATGTCTCCCGGGTGCCCTCCAGCTGGGTGGCTTTCCTTCATGCCAACTGCCTCTCTCAGGGACAGAGGTCATGGGCTCCTTCACATGCTTCACGCGATATTTAACATGACTGCTTGGAACCTTGGTTTGATTTTGTCATGCCTATCCGTCTAGTTCTCTTCTTTCTTTTGTTTTTTTTTTCTGATAAGACACACAGATTCTAAATATAGAAAGGCTAACCCAGCTAAATATGGGAAGGCTAAAGCATCACGGATAAAGCAGTAATGAAATGCAGCTTTTCTCTAAGTCTCTCTCAGTAATAGCCACCCGGATGCTTGCAGGATAAAGCCCGGTTATTCCAGACCCAGGCTGTTTGGTCCAGGCCAGCCATGTGCTTCTGCTAAGCGGTGTGATGGGCATATGTAATCTATCTGCGCTCACACCAATGGGAAGGTTCGCTAGAAAAATCCAAGGGGCTCCTTTGAAGTCCATCTCGCCTTCAACTAGGAGATGCTTTCTAGGGAAATGCAAACAACTCCCTGACATGGATACAGAGAAAAGCATCCATTTAGACTCCTCTCTGTTCACCCAGAAAGGACCTGTGCTGGAGGCAGCCCCCAATCACCTGTAAACAAGGTTTCCTCAGAGGGCTCCTAGGAGGAGGGTGAAGTCTAATAGCTTACATATGTGTTCAGAATTGAGCTGGTGTCCTAATCCTAGCTAACTCTTTCTGCATTCACTGGGGGGATCAATTAAGTCATATTTCGTTGACCTCCTTTGAGCTATTTTATGGACTTTAAAAAATGTTCTTTTATTAAATCTATAATTTAATGTTCATTGAGTCAATCAGTACTTTTATCCAATGTATAATGCATCCGTATTTAATAGCTCATCTCAAAACTGTGATGTGTGAATATATATGTAGATGTTACATATAATATACTATGATATTGAAAAATCTCTGTATCTATTGTCCAAAATATTTTAGAAAAGTAGAATAAACAAATCTATTCCCACATAAAAAGTGCTTTTACCCATCCACAGAGCCCATTTTTCTCAGCCCGACCAGCTCATAAAGTATTTTCTAATAGATGCCATGGCTTTGCTAATTCTGCTTTTCATATTTGGAAAATAATTTGATGGTGACATGACTAATTCTCCTCTTTCAGTGAAACCCTTCAGAGAATGTCTCAGCTCCATATGAATTTGAGGAAGACACCAAATTTGCTAATAGATCCAGACAGCTGTCTGCACGTGGGGAGGACATCAGACATTGCTGTTTGGTCTGTGCGGTTAGTAATGCAGCCTCAGATGGCACTGAGAATGGGCCATGCTAGAATTCAGTTAAAAATACCAGGAAGGCCTGGCTGGCATGGCTCAGTGGTTGAGCATCAACCCATGAACCAGGAGCTCACAGTTTGGATTCCTACTTAAGGCATAGGCCCAAGTTTCAGGCTTGATCCCCAATAAAGGGGTGTGCAGGAGGCAGCCAATCAGCGATTCTCTCTCATCATTGATGTTTTTTTTTTTTTTCTCTCTCTCTCTCCCTCTCCCTTCCTCTCTGATATTAATTTTAAAAAAAAGAAAATAGTAGGATGGCCAAACCATTACCAGACCAGAGACCTCTTGTATTATCCACGTGAAATGGTGAAGAGCTGGGCGTGGGGGTGAGGGAGCTGGAAGCAAGCACAGCTGTTTGGCTTTATAATGATGGAAGGAACTTCCCTCCTTGGTGATGCACACTGTTGGGTTTTACTGGATACCACTACCTTAGCCACTGGGATTGCAAATGCGATGAGCAGTTAAACTGCACACAGAGGTATCTGGTCCTTCTTAAAACCTCATCAGCCCATCCATCTTCTAAATTTCCCATAGCAACACATTCCAGTTGTGCTTCTGTGGGGGGATTGTAATTGACAATGTGTTTGCAGGGAAGAGGGAAGACCCCATTCTACACCAATAGGAACAATATGTGCAGAAAATGTACACTACCATTTTTCTTGTCACACAATAAAACCAAAATAAATAGTAACAGCACATTTCCAACGGAATAGACTTACTTTCAGTGCAAATGGGACAGCATCCTTTTCGGTTGAGAATTTTACCCTAATCAAAAGAAAAAACAATTAAGAGTTTAATGCTAAGAAACAGAGTCTGCTGAGGACTTTTTAAAACTAATACCAGACAAACCAATGAAATCAGTCCAAGTTATATTTGAACTCAGTGCCCACATGGTGATGATGACAGTAAAAATAAAGTTTCAAGTATCAAGCCAGGCGAAGCCTTTCAGAAAGTATCAGGGTCTCAGGCCAGGCAAAGCCTATCAGAAAGCTTTCCTGTTTTTACCCACCGAGAAATAGAATATCTCAAGGACTCATTGGTGAGATCTTTCTCACACAGAGGGGAGATGGGGACTGTCTGGATTCAACCTTTTCACCGATACCCAAATCTAGTCCTCTGTAAGCCAAGAGCACACACATCAAAATAGGAAGTGGCTGTCAACCCATCGATCCATGTGAGGCCTCTGTTCTGTTTTGCTTCTAGGATGGGGCCCAAACAATAAACCGTAACCCAAGTGGGGGTCTATGGATCCAGACAATATCTGTGTTACAGATCAAGTTCAGTCACATTTCTTCTTTCAGAAACTGCTTTGCAGTTGAAGCCAATGAATTTGAGGGTTGGGAAATGCTGAGTAATTTTCCATTATCATTCTGGAAACACAGTGTAATTTCCTAAAATGCATTTATTCCCCTTTTTTTAGTGCATGGCATTTCAAGGAGGGAGCTTATTCTCAGGGCCCATATCAGCAAATGGCATGGCCTTATCTCTGACTCAAGGGGACTCGAAGAGAAAAGAAAATGTGGGAACATAGACAGAGCACTTTGCTGTGTGACAAACACCCTTTCAGATATTTCCCATAAGCTATCCAACCTCGGGATTATTACAAGGATTTAATAACTTAATACTTAAAATATTTAAGATTTAATCTATAAAATACGTATTATTATAAGTATCCTTCTTAAGATGAACAATAACCTTGTAAGCTAAGTATTTCTCTTTTTATAGGTGAAGAAATTGATGTTATGCAATGCAACCTTGGAAGAACCCAAAATCAAACCTAATTTTGTATAACCCTAAAGGCCATCTTGTTGGCACTCAGATTTTTATCCTCTTCCATCCTTTAACTCTAAGAGAATATAAAATTCAGTGGGCACCTGCTGTACACAGAGTGCTGTGTACTTTATCTCATTTAAACTTCACAATGACTTTCTAAATGTAGGTGCCCTGGCCTTTTATTAGGAAAATAAGAAACAGGGATCACAGAGAGGTAGCCCAAGGCCTATGTCAAGGCCACAAGTCAATATAAGATCCATCCACTCATTCCCTACTGGTCAGTTGCATCAAGAATAAATTTAGAAACTAGAGAAAATCATACTGGTTCAAAATATGCTAGTCAGCAATTGAAGAACCAGGACCATGTTAAATTCATTTACCCATTAGCTAGCTCAGTGATTTTCCACCTTTATTTATCTCATGGCACACATAAACTAATTATTAAAATTCTATGGCACACCAAAAAATATATAGCATTTTTTGCCAATCTGAAAAAAAAAAAAGGTACAATTTTGACTTATTCACACCAGATGGCTATTGTTGTTGTCATTTTTTTATTTGACAATCTAATAGGCATGAGACATTTAAAAAATTCTTATGGCACACCAGTGTGTCACAGCACACCGGTTGAAACTCACCTTATACAATATAAATTGTATAAGGGCCATGATGACTTTGAATAAGACTTAAAACTCAGTCCCATTCAGCCATCCCATGGTCTGGGGCACCACGGCATGTATTCATTGCCTAGAGCTCTACCTTCTATCTCTATTGGGCAGCCAGGTCTCCTTGGGTTTCTCGGACTGAAAGCAGTTGAGTACAAAAGCAAATGTGCTTGGCTCTGACCAATGGCATGATGACCCCAGCGTGGAGGAGTGAGGGGCACTATCTGAATAGAGCAGAGCTGTCTACATCCAAAGCCCTCAACCAACAACACATGGCGGTGTGATCCTCTCCATCTGCGTGCTGGCAGAACTGCCATCATCTTCTTTAGACAATGGAAGTGAGGCTGGTCATATTATTAAATGAGGGGGGCGGGGGTAACTCAAGCACCAGCTATGAGGTCAGGGCTCCTGGCTGTGGCATCCAGGCATGCTACCACCTCGGCGGTAAGAAGGGTGCAGTAATGACACCCATCCGGAGGGGTAGTCTCAGCATTGAATGGGGTCAGCCCTGCGACGGCAGAGAAAGTCTCAGTCCAGATGAGCGATGATGAGATGGTGTCATCACAGCCCTGTCCCCACTGGAACCCTCATAGCCCTTCTCACGAAAGGTAGGCCTTTGCCTCTGGGGAGTTGCCAGGGAAGGTGGACAAGGAATCCAACCATAAAATCCTCCTTCAACAAGGTACCCCCTCTTCTGGGGAAAGAGCTGTGCAGTGCCCGGCCAGGACAGAGCAGGGGACAGAGCAGGGGACAGAGCAGGGGACCCTCATAGGACAGAGCAAGGGACTCCTGCAGGACCATCCTTGGAGTATTTTGATCTCCCCAGGCAATTCCAAGGAGGGAAGTGTTCTGCGGGGTTTCCATGGTAGAACTAAGTTTTCTCCCAAAGTCCTGTGCTGGCCACAGAGAAGGGAGGGTGTGAGCTGGAGGAGTGGTTGGAAAGATGCCCAGAAACCAGAAGGGGGCCCCCGAGGCAGGAGCTGGGCACTGCAAGCTTTGGCAAGCTGAGGAGGAGGGAGCAGGGAAAGGCCTGTGTTTTGAGGCATGGATGCCCCCAGCCCAAACGTGGCCCGCCAAGAAGAAAGGCTGAGAGATGCTGCCGGTGACATAAAAAGCACTGACCTCCCCACAGCGAGAGGACAATGAGAACCAGCGACCCCGCCACGGCGGCAGGACCCCAGGAAGCCGGACTCTCACCACGGCCCAAGGAGCTTGTTACTGGAGCCACTAGGTTGGCACGGCGCCCTGATTTTGTCTCTGGAATAAGGAAGCCCGTTATTACTAACATGTGCTGCAAGCGATCATTAGCAGCCAGGGTTCCCCTGGGACTGGCAGAGAAGGGATCTTACTCTCCAATGAATATTTATAAGCAGACCACGTTCAAGTCCGTGGACTGGATCTCCCTCCTTCTTTTTTATGGGAGCTTTTCGGTTTTATGTCCGAGGCTTTTTAAGCAAGACTAATTAGGGTTTTTTAGGTGTGTGTGTGCTTTTTTCCCGCTTCTCTCTCCCCCTTCCTTCAGTTGTGCAAGAGCAGCAGCTGTTGTTTCTCATGCCGCGTTTGGTAGTGAAGCAAAAACAGCGCCTTGCTGTTTACAATAAGCACAGATGTGGGTGAAATTAAAGGCTGTCGATAGCAGAGGAAGGGGGACAGGCCCTGAATCCGAGGGTGCATTATTTTCATTCACTGCGAGGTACTGAATGGGTCTGACATGTTCCCAAAATGCCTGGATTTCAAGTTGCAGAGGAGAACTCACTGAAGGCGAGCGTTAGAGGAGAATGGGCACCTTTATTCGGCGAGTGGGAACGGGGCTTCTGAAAAGGGACATTCCCACCAGGACGCAATTGCCATGAGGGGCTACGATGGAAGCCAGGGTTCCAGAGGGAAAACTTCAGAGGGAAGCTGGAACAGGGTGCTGCTAGGTAGGAGAAAACCTTTGGGAAATCTATGGAGAAACAACCACATGTGACCTGAATGACAACGGGAAGGGACTCTGATCGGAGGAGAGAGAGAGAAAGGAGGGGAGTGCAAAGGGCGCTGCTGATAGTCAACAGCAAACCCAGCCACAGAGATCAGGGAGCAGACCAATAGGCTGGAGACCTGAGAACACAGACGTGGGCAGAGTCACTGAGACACAGGAGGGTGGAGAGAGCCAGGTGGGCCCTGTCCCCACGCAAGGCTGGAACGGGGAGGGGGGGGGGGAGAGGGAAGGAAGGAGTGGGAGGGGAGGCTGCAGGAGGATCCTCAGAGGATGCTTTGCAAGGAGTGGGGGCTCTGTGGGCACTTGGAAGTTTCAGGGGAATGGGGTTTGGAGCCCAGGGGACCTGCCACACACCGGACGTGCCCCAGGCTGCCCAGTGAAGGCACAGGAGCCTGCATCCCATACGTACCTGCGGGCAGCTGTTGATGGGAGCGCACTGCTTCTTGCGGCACTCAGTCTTGCCTTTCAAACAAGCACAGATGGTGCAGTTCACGGAGGACCACATCTCTCCATCCTGGGGGAGAGAGCACGGGGTTCCGTCATCGGGGAGCGGGGGGGCTGTGGGGAACAATCCAGCAGGCTGGGGCTCTGTCACGGGAAGCCTTTCTTAATGAGTGCTGGATGCCATCATTAGATTACACCACTCTGATGGCTCTATTGCACCTACCTGATTTAATGTAAGATCAGATTTAAGGTGTGTGTGCACATGTGTGTGTGTTTGCCTATGTGTATACCTGTGTGTGTGGGTGCATGCATGTGTGTACGTACCTGTGTGTGTGCGTGTGCAAGTGTGTGTGTGTGTGTGTGTGTGTGTGTGTGTGTTCCTCTCCAGGATATAAAAAGAATTCTTGGGCAGCTAAGTCCTATTTACATCTTGCTCCTTCTGCACTAGGAGACAAGCAGGAATTTCACCATGATGTCATAACAAAGGTCCAATTTTCCCCTTCGGTAAGATGGACATGTTCAAAGCTGAGCCAGGCCCCAGACATTAATGGACACGTTCACAGGTGGTTAGTGTACTCCCAGGTGGGCCATGGTTCTGGACCACATCGGGCACAAATATGACAAGGACAGAAGCTAATTCAAACGACTCATACTTCCCAGGCAGAAACCTCACCAGGAAGCCATTGGAAAGTGAGGGGCCTGTCAACTAACTCCGAGAGCCACTCAGGCATGTCCCTGCCTGCCAGGCACTCTGCTTCCTACAAGCTGGGAGCCACTCAGGGGCACATTTTCTCACTGCTTGAGGAATTTCTAGGGCTCACTGGACTTACGACCCACATTGCCAAGTGCCCGGCCACAGGAAGCCCTGTGCCTCCAGAGAACGGGCAGGGATGAGCACCTTGCTTTGGGGAAAGAAATTACAGGCAATCAAGCGGGGCCTGAACACAAAGCAGGATTCCTTCCTGGAGGGTCTCAGCAGCCAATTTTGTTAAAACAGAGACACTAGCTCAGGTCTGTGAAGTTGACTGCACCTCTTCCTCTTCCTTCTCGCTCTTTTCAGAACTGCCTGCTCTCCAGTGCCTTTACTTCTCAGGAGAGGAAGATCTGGCTGAATCTGTCTTACGGGCATCTACTCTTCCAGACTCTGCATGTTTCTGGGACTCTGAGCTTCAAGAATGACCCATCAGTGATTTCCGTCTCAGTTCACAGAAAGGAACTCAGGAGGAGCCTGGAAAGCACTCTGTACAACCACCATCATGAGGGGGAGTCTGCTGCATCGGGGGCTCAGGTGAGGGGTGACTGCGTGCAGAGAGGACCCGAGAGCTCTGGGACCCTGGCACAAGTACCACTCGCACGTGACTCTTCCCCTGGGTACGACACACCGAATCTTCTTATGGATTCCGTAAGTCAGGCTCTCCCTCCAACTCCGAGCTGTAACAGGAAGCCTGGCTCAGCACAGCCTGCCGGGGGAGCTCCCCATCTGCCTTGGTTGTGGGGGTCTCAGTTCTCAGGGGTATCATGAAAAGACCTTCAGGACAGAAGGACTCCTCCACCCCTGGGGACCAGGGACAAGATGGAAAGGACTTCAGACAAAGTCAATAATCTTCATCCTGACATCTAAGTGGTCGCTGCACAGCCCTGTGGGTGTGGCTCAGTGGGTTGGAGCATCCTCCTGTACATTACAAGGTCATCGATTCCATTCCCAGTCAGGGCACATGCCCAGGTTGGGGGTTCAATTCCAAGTATTACGGGAGAGATGGGAGGCAACCGATTGATGTTTCTCTCTCACATCAATGCTCTCTCTCTCTCTCTCTCTCTCTCTCTCTCTCTCTCTCTCTCTCTCTCTCTCACACACACACACACACACACACACACACACACACACACACCAGTAAGCATATCCCTGGGGAGGATTACAAATAAATAAATTAGATAACTGGCCGCTGACAGCTTGCTACTCGGGCCGTCAGGGGACGATGTGAAATACCCTGTTTCCCCAAAAATAAGACAGTGTCTTATATTAATTTTTTCTCCCAAAGTTGCGCTAGGTCTTATTTCCGGAGGATGTCTTATTTTCGGGGAAACATGGGTACATGTGGTGGGGAGCGTCCAGGACAGCACTCGCTCACCTTTGCTCCCATAAGCACCCTCACTGAACATCTCCCGGAGGAGAAAACCACTCTTTGAAAAGCAGAGCCATAAAAAAGTCCTGGATGTAGCCAGCTGCAGACCTTCAAGACCCTGGCAGGGGGCACTGAGCGCTCTGGCCAAGACGGTCTTGGGCAATCAAGGCCCCGTAACAGCACCACCATGGAGGCAGTTTCAGCTCATCCCCAGCCATGGGTCGGGCCGACCACATTGGGAAAAGGCAATGATTGCTTGTACAAGTTTAAAACATCATATAAATCCAAAATATTAAAAATTTTAAAGAGCATTTTTCAAAAGAAAAAAATTTTCCAAGAAAAACTTTTTCAAACACTTGCTTCTCTGTGTCTGTGTGTACTGGATTCTAAATATAGATACATATATGCCGGGACCAGTTTGGCTCAATGGATAGAGCATCAGCTTGGGGACTGAAGAGTCATGGGTTCGATTCCGGTCAAGGGCATGTACCTTGGCTGCGGGCATATCCCCAATAGGGGGTGTGCAAGAGGCAGCTGATCGATGACTCTCTCTCATTGATGTTTCTAACTCTCTATCTCTCTCCCTTCCTCCCTGTACAAAAATCAATAAAATATATTTAAAAAAAATAAAAATAAAAATAGATACATATAAATATTATACTATAAATCAGTGCAGTTATAGATAAACACACATACATGTATATATACATACAAGCACCTACACACAATTTGGAAGGCCCCAATGAGCATGTTGTCTGAAGCTTTCTACAATTCAGGGTACACAGTCACCTCCGTGTGCCTGGCTCGGGACGTACCCGAAAGATCTTGTTGCCAAACTTGCACACTTTGGTGTCTTCCGGGGGCACGTGTACGAGGCACTCCTCACAGCAGGCCTCCTCGCCCTTGTCGCAGCCACCGGCCCGGGAGCACTTCTTCTTACACACCACAGTGGAGTCCTGCGGGCCCAGAGGCAGACGAGATTAAAATGATGCCCACCCGCACCCAACGCCCTCCCTGGCCTTCTGCTAACAACCCACAAATCACAGCTTTCAAATACAGTTTGAAGATTCCGAATTTTAATTTATTGCAATCGGCCTTTCATCCACTTCAAACTATTGCTTGTTGACTCAATATCTGGACTATGCAAAGTGTAACGTACACTCCCTACCTTCCCAGGGTTTATAATTTAATGCTCAAGGGACTAAAGGTTCTGCTTCAGCCACTGTGTGGCAGAAAGGACCCGTTCACAATGGGCCAGCCAATTCCAGTCCTGTTCCTCTTTCCTTCACTCACAGTGCCCTCTGGGACTCCTGCCTTGGCTTTGTGCCACCTTCTAAGAGTTCAGCACAAAGGCAGGGTATCTCTGACCAAAGAGCAAAATTCACAGTTCATGTTCCATCTCAAAATGAAATCTATTAGTGTCTTCTGTGTTCAAACAGGAATGGAAGGAGCAATTCCAAAACTGGACCTGGGTTCCAGAGCTCTTCCATCAACTGTGTGACCTTCACGTGGCCACTTACCCTCTAAGGGTGACAAGTTGATACCTGTAACTTTAAGGTGTGAGGCCTAGTTTCTAAAGAAGTGGTATTCCATGAACGAAATAGCTTAGTGAACTGCGTCTGCTAATTTATTCAGCCACATAATGAAGACGGGTGAAGAAAAAGAAACTTCTCTAGTTCCCCAGCCAACAAGACACAACTCCACCTGGAACAGGTCGACGGCTGGGCGAACTGTAAGAGCCGAACACCCATGAAATTTAGTGCAAGACAGGGTTGGAGAAAAGAAGTGCCCCAGGTAGATCAGAAATCCCCTCAGAGTGTTGTGTTAAGGTGAGAACAATAGCAGAGAAATGAGGTGAAACCCCCTCCAAGACATAGACCCCACTGGTAAGCTTTGAGCCAGGACGCATGTCTGAGCATTATATACATGCAGGATGTATGTAACTTCTGTAGCATAGGGAACGGCTATAGGGTTAAGCCTCAGACTGACCTGCTGGCAAAGCCACAAACAAGTCCAAGCTTAGAGAGCACAGCCCCCTTAGCATAAATAAGCTTGGCCTTATGACACTCTCTAGATCCTATCTGGGAAGCTAATGGGCTGTCTGAGGTGCAGTAAGTGTTGCCAAAACAAGTAAAACTCACAAGAACATTGTAACTGTGGTGATCACTACCTTGTTTACCTCTGACTATAAAATAAAGCATCAGCTTACCTTCTGGATTTTTTCTTTGTGGCCTCAGCCAGACACAGGAAGATCCACCTAGATCAGTGGTTGGCAAACCTCGGCACACGAGCCACATGTGGCCCTCGAACTGTGGTTTGCCTCTCTGTTGACTAATGAATTTGCCAACCACTGCACTAAACTAAACGTTACCATATAGTTGGAAGCTATTATATTAGGATTAGCAATTGTGGTATATTGCTTGCAAAGAGGTAAAGGGAAGTTAGCCGTCCACTGATCTAGAGCCAGCTTATTCTCTTTGTCTGTCTTTTCTATATCCTTCGCCACCCTCCCTCAGGCTGTGCTAGCATGACACACTGTAGATTCTATGCTAATTTTATAACTTTAAGAGGTACTTCTGGTACCATCTACTATACTTTCATGGATTAATTATACAAGATTAATATGACACTGAGGTGATCCTTCAAATGCCACTTGATATCCTTTATATCTATCAAGGGTGATGAAACTTTTTTTTGTCAAGGGCCATATGGATATTTATAACATCATTCTTGGACCATACAAAATTATCAACTTAAAAACTAGTGAGATAGTCAAACATGTAATTAACTCACCCCTGATGCCTTGGCAGAACAAGACCAAATGATTTTGTGGGCCTAACACATCCCACAGGTCAGATGTTCCCACCATTTCTCTAAGCGAAGAGAAAATAATACTGACTATCCTAAATGATTGTAGCCTGCTTTTTCAGGGATGTCTGGCTTTCCCGCAATCAAGAGAATTGGGAATGACATGGGTTTTATCAAAAGCTCAGTATCCCCAAGAGGAAACTATAACCCGTGAAGTTCCTGGAGAGGAAGAGAAGTCCTGAGGATGGAGGCCAAGGCTAAGAGCAGGAATAGCCATCTGTTTACCATAGGAGAACACGAGCCAGGAAGAGAGGAGGGAGCTTCGGGAAAGTCCTTTCGGTCTCAGTGCCAGGGAACACTCAGGGCAGCCCTTACTCAGCCATCTCCCTGCAGCAGGGCTGTTACATAACAACGCCTTCCATGGGTAATCAGGACCTTCTGAACCCTCATCACGGCTACTGACTCAGAGCTGGTGTTGAGCAAACTTCCCCTCTGGCCCTCTCTTGCCCTTTAGCTATTAAAAACAAAACCACCACCAACAGCACCGCACTCATGCTACACAGATGTTTGGGTGAACTCACTAATGAATGACCCTAAAGCCCTCCATATAAATGATTCTCTTCTTGGTTCCAAAAATAAATCGCCACATAAACCCAGTCTAGAAATGCAGGATGTGTGTCCCTTTATAATGGGGGAGTGGTGCAATTCTTTCTTTACCAGTCATTAGGCTCCGGTTGCCTTTTGAGAAAAGTGAGGGATGCCTCAAATAAGGAATGACACCGTGAACAAAACATAAATACTCCCTTCCCAAACTACCAGGTTGATCTTGTGATGGATGCACGGGAAACCCATGCCACTCTTTTCTCTCGCATGTAAGGCCACTTTTATTGCCAGGAGTGCCAGAGGTTCCACTGTGGATCATCAGCTCCAGAGAACGCTGCCATGTGCATTTGTCTGAGTTTAGCAAGTGCTGCAGACAGCCCCTCAGTTCAGTTCTCACCACCAAAAACTAACTTGCTATTCTCGGGGATGACAGTGAATGGTAATTTGAGTCCTTGTGACCTGAAGTGTGAATTCACCCTAACGTGGCATCAAGAATGACTCCCTCTGATAAATGGCACATCGTGTTTGGCCACAATGTTAACACTAAAGCCCAAGCTGCTCGAACGGCAGCCCCTCAGAACCACCATACCCTGCAGGTGCACGCCGTGCAATCGTCGTACAGAAATGAGGATCCATTGTCATAAACGTCACTGCGGAAGAGGCAGCTTCCAAACGGGAGGTCAAACACTTTCCTTTGACCTAGAGGAAAGCAATAGCACAGTGTAAGCAAGGCGGAAGCCAAGGACATCCCCCTGGGTCATCAGCAATTACAGCACAGGCAGTTCAACACTCAGATGCTCCCAGGACATACCCAGGAGTCATTAATTTAGAGAGTTTTTCTTACAAAGAGTTTGATTGCACACTATAAGTCAACAAATCTTCATTGAATATCCATATACTGAACCAAGAGGATTAAGACATAGACCTTCCCTCATGGAGCTCAGAATCTACTGGGGAAGCAAACTCATGAAACATGATTTCGGCACAAATGTATGTTATGTTCTGGAAAGAAGCCAATCTGGGAACCATGGGGAAAGGAGGACAGAGAAAACTTCTCAAAGGATGGGATGCCTGAGTTACATTGAAGAATGAGTAAAATTATGCAGAAAGTGAATATTGGAAGGAAGGAGGCAAGATATCCCATGGAGGAAAAGAATGAGCAAATAAAAAAAATAATTACAGAGTATTTCAGTTGAACAAGTTACAAGTCCATTGGCATAACTCAAAGAGTCCATGGAGGCAGAATCCAACTAAATATGCTAAGGGTCAAGGTATCGTATCTCTGCAGATTTAATTTAGTTTGCCTTTCCCTATAATTTACCTCCATATGCTTCCTGTATTTTCTGAAGCGGACTTAAATTATCCTTGGCAACAGGCAGGATATAAATAAATATGTAGATATAGTTAAGCTTTCTTCTCCACCATTAAAATAGATGTTCTGAGGAAGTCTTCTCCTCTTAGAATGAATAGCCCCTTCCTGTTCCTTTTACTACAACTATAGTCCTCAATATTGTTGCCTGGATGGATGATGGATGATGGATGGATGGATAGATGGACGGACAGATGGCTACAGTCAGTATATCATTGAGCAAAAAGACTCTTCAACAAGTTGATGCCTCCCCTGAACAAATGTAACCAATGGCTTAAATTATCTAGTGTAAAATGTGGATTTTACCTAAAAAAAAAATAAAAATAAAATAATAATAAAAAAAAATCTTAGTGTTAATTAGTTTAGAGTTTTTCTTACAAAGCCTTGTACTCATTAATCATGCCAAAAAGTGCAAGGTGATATGTATTATCATTATGAGTGGTAGGATCATCTAAATATGACACTGGGCCATGTCACTTTCTCTTAAAGGGGTATCCTGTGCTCTGTTTACACAAAACTCTGACCAGGCTCTTCACTGAAAAGGAAAAAAGAGGAGAATGCTGTGATGTCAAAGACAGAGGTATGTCACATGAATGAATCTTGGTGATAGGAAAATTTAACAGCAAATCAGTATCCAAGCAGCCAAAATTCTAATTAGTCTAAGATTTCAGTATCTAAATAGTATCCTGGTATTTTCTTTCCTTTCTTTTGTGTGTATATGTAGATGGGGGTATGTTTCTTTCTACTCCCTCCCCAAAACAAGCAAACAAACAAACAAAACAAAAAACGTAAAATTTTACCTTAATCCCAAAGTCATCATGGCCCAAAATAAGATAAAAACATTAAAAAAAAAAAAAGTGGTTCAAAGACTCCGTGTACAGCCTGATTTGAGTCATTTCCACAATATTCCGCTGGGGTTTAGCCCAACCAAAAAAAAAATGGTTTCCTTTGGGAGAATTATGATTTTCAAGTTTCCTAAGACTTTCTGTTCCTTTTGTAGTCAGTCTTATGACCACAGATGGACCGAAAAATCTGCCTTCAATACAGCAGCCATTGCTCATGTGAGAAACTCTGACTGACTCAGCATGTCCATGGGACTGGCTCCAAAACATTAATCAATCCTACTCATCTTCCAGGCCAGGCCCCAGAAGCCATCTCCTCTGAGGTGACTTTCCTGTTTAGGTGGCCCATGGCATGATGATCCCACCCATGGCGAATGGGCTAATTCTCTTCTGGGGGCACCAGGACACATTGACCAAGAAGCACACAGATCAATGGCAATATCGTGTCTAAACAAGTCTTCTTCATTCTTATAATTATTTCATATTTACTTAAAAATTATCTGTGTGTGTGGGTGTGTGTGGCAAAAAGGCAAACATTTTTGGGTATAGAGGAGAAACCTGCCTTAGTTGATGAGGCACCTTCATTTGCCAATTTGGTTGTAGGAAGAAGACTTAAGAGTATGGCTGTGATAAGCTGGGAATGAGAAAAAGAAATCAATAGGATGTGTTGGAATTGGGAAAAGCAAACTATGAAAGAAAGGCAAGAGGGTTCAAGAAAAGGGTGTGGACAGTACCTGGAAACTGGAGCCCAAATAAGTGAGACAAATGGTAAATTTTTTCTAAAGGCAAAATGGCTAAGACAAACCAAGGATGCTGATTATCTCATTGTATGCTGTTCCCTGTGCTTCGGTGTAAAGTGACCATCCTCGTTGACTGCAAACTTTCAGTAAAATCTGAGGCACAAGCCTTGGCTCAACAATATTATCAGAGGTGAGAGACTGGATGGGAGGATCTCTAAAAGGACAAAATATAGGAGGAGGAGGAGGAGGAGGAGGAGGAGGAGGAGGAGGGGGAGGAGGAAGAGGAGGAGGAGCGGGGTAAGATAGAAAAGGAGGGGGGATAAGAAAGAGGAAGAGGAGATGGAGCGGAGTGAGAAAGAGGAGGAGAAAGAGGGGAATGAGAAGAGGAAGAGGAGGAGGAGGAGGGAATGAGGAAGAGAAGGAGGAAGGGAAAGAGGGGAAAAAGAAGAAGAGCACAAGGAGCAAGAGAGGCAGGGGGAAGAAAAGGAACAGAGACAAAAACAACAGGAGCAGAAACACAAAGCCAGAAGTGACTGGGGAAAATATGAGCTACCTCAAGGGTTCCTGGAGATTCTGGTGGGGTTGCTGGATGCTCTAGTATATGCATATGATGGCTCAAGCTATTATACTTTTATTTGAATCTTAAATAGTCTGACCTCTAACTCCAGAGACTAAAGATCATATGGAGGAAGCTAGCATATGGATGATAAACCAAAGCCAACCAACCTCATGCTCCAGAGTCTCCCTCATATACTGTCTCCTTTCCAGTGGTGATGTGTGTGCTGCCTCCATGCCACCAGGGCAGTTGGGCTGCAGCAGCTTCAAGGACAGGCTTAGGAATCCCAGAGAATCGTGTTCAGGTGCCAACCTGTCACCCCCTGGCTATGCCACCTTCCAGACCTTCCCTCTGGGGACAATAAAACTAATGATCACACCTAAACCACACATTCAAATGATGTCATGTATTTGGTATCTACATAGCACAGCTTCTGGAGATGATTTTTTATGGAATCTATTGAGGTGACCTGGTTAACAAAATTACACAGATTTCAGGTGCACAGAAGATTCTTAAGATTACATGGGAAGAAGCATATAAACTTCTCATGGTGCTCAGTACAGGAAATGTGCAATGAGAGCGAGCTAGTGTTTCCCTTTTTTGGCTATTACCCATGGTTCCCTTCTAAGCCTCTTGTTTTGGCATGCTATGCTTTTCCCTCTGAAAGTACCAGGAGTCTGTATTCCTCTGTTTACTTCACATGCCTTTAGAATCTGCCCTGAACTCATCAGATGCTCCATTAAAGGCAGGGTCTTCAATAATGTTCTCCCACAAGAAGCACTGCCTCAGGCTGTCTGGTGCTCCAGGTCACAGACACAGGGAAGCCAAGAGAGAAGAAATCTCCCCAGAGGCGTCAGAAAAGAGAACACATCCCCTTCCCCCAGTCCCTCATGCCCACCTGATGCTCCTTTAATTAGAGAGGTTTCCATGAAGACAAGACACCCTGAGGACCCAGCACGGCCATGAGGATGCATACGCTCAGTGGAAACCAGTGAGAATATATTACAATGTTCTTTGACCTTAAAACTGTCACTCACCCAAACATTTGGGGCAGCACTGTCCCGGGGGAACGTGGCTAAGGTGCTGAGGACAGGAGAGAATGGGACAGACCTCGCGCACGCACTGTGTCCTGCCTCCCTGAAGGAGAGAGAGAAAGAAGCACATTTAGCAAAGTCAGTGAATGCAGATCCGATGACCAAGGATTCTGGACCAAACCAGGGCCTTCCCTCATAATAAGTCCCTGGTGACTGCTGGGACCCAGGTAACTTCTCCCAAGCCTCCTTCTCCCTTCCCTGCAGACCACAGGAGCTGTACCAGCAATGCCCTCCGAGAGATGATGAGGGCATAACTCTCACCCTGGCCAGGCCTCTATCTGTCCTCCTGAGGACCAGCCCATGTCTCAGTGCCTGAGATTTGCGGCTTTTAGGACTAAAACTGGGAAAGTGTCAGGCAAACAAGGATGAGGTGGCCTCCCTCCCTCACCCCAAGCAATCCAAGGAACCCCCTCTTCCAACCCCATCGCTTTGTAGGCCCTGCACATCTTTCCCCAGAAAGGCTCCCCTGCCTGCCACAGCTTACGGCTGTTGCTGGGATGGCTCAGAGGGATTGGGATCAGGGGAGGCAGCCAATCTGCTCAGAATGGGTGCACTGCAGGCCGGTATTCAGACGAACAATTGCACTGAATTTACCAAGCTAGCCTAATCTGTCCATGACCTCAGTAGAGGGTATATGAAACTGAGATGGCTGGCAGAGCTTCCTTGTGCCCGGGGAGAAGTCTAGAACCTTCAGATAGTGTCCCTGCCCCCCATTCTCAACCCTCCAGCTTCTGTGACTGCTGATGCCCATTCCTTCCTCCTAGAAGGTGCACACACAACATGCCCACTCCCTTCTCTCTCCCTCAGAGAGGCACCTGGTTGTCAAACTTGTAACTGAATCTCCAGAAAGCTGGTACTGGGGAAAAACAAGATGAAACACAACAAAAACACCAGCTTTGGAGTCACCTTACACCCAACACCTTTGCAGGGCTCATGGGAAAACTACCCTGTGCAAAATGAATTTGCTATCAAATTTGTGAATGATTTCTACCAGTTGGCTTCTCTGGGGTTTGAGGCAGAAACAAAATTAAGAGCCTCAGGCATCCGTTGTCTCAGGCTGATAACTTATATTTCAAGAAGCCTCAGGAAAGGAGGGACTGGACTCCCAGAGCCCAGGCCTGGCGGGGAAAGGAGGCCCCTCGCATTTCCTCTGTCCCTAGCACCTTCTGCAGGGACCCGCATAGCGCCTGGGTCACAGCCAGCCCTCCCCGCACACTGCTGCCTCCTGCATTTGCCGCCTTCTCTTCCTGTTCTTGCCATTTGTGTTATTATAGTTTATTTTTTTGGTGGGGATGGATGAAAAGGGTAAGGCACATGATGTCTTTTTAAATATTTATGATTTTTAAACCACTTTACTGTTGGATCCTTCCCCAAACCAATAAAGAACATGTGAAAACACCACAATGAGCTCTTCTGTTGCTTTTACATTATTTTCAGGTCAGCAAGAATCACTAAAAAGCTCCTCAGAACGCTGGCTGTTCCAGGAGCGGTTTCTCTCTGGACTCTGCAGAATCCGAAAGTCTGGCCCTTCACTGGACTCCAGGGACATGAACTCTGAGGACAGAGCAGACGCTGAGGTCTGCCCCGGCTTATACATAAACCACAAATGTCAGATCGAGAGGAAGGACACAGGCTGCCCTTAGCTTTTCATTTCCAAGAAGTCTATCTGCAAATAACTCCCCAAAATGTGGGAGCACCGGCCGCACGAGGCGAGCTGTGTGCGGGCTTCTCTCGGGAGCACGGAGGATGGATTCTTCTCGGGGACACTCTCTGTTCTTGTTGGATCAGCATCTATTATATTTTTCAGGCATGTTTTAAAGTTACAATTTTTTACATGTTGCATAATTGCATGGGAGTGGACTTGTCCAACGCTTTGGAAAGCTGGCAAAAGATTCTGTGGACTCCAGTAATTTTCCTTACAATGAGGTCAGAGAGCGCGTTTTGCATACATAATGCAGCTGCGAGTGTGTCTCCCCAGAGTCCTCTCAAGTAACTTGAACTCCAATGGGGGTTTGCTGGTTTGGTCGAGTTTTATTTGGTTTGCGTTGCAGCTTGTGGCACAGTCCCAGTCCCCAGGCTGCCTGCCCAGGGATGCCTCCACAGAGCCCCAGGCCCGTTGGCTCACAAGCTGCTTCTTTCTATGATTTCAGCTCCGCAGGGACTCTGGTTAAACTATAAGCTGTGACTGTGCTGTAAACTAAAAGTGGTCAAGTAGCAGAAGTAAACATTTCTGTTTCTAAAAATGTACGAATCCCCACGGTACCTACATAGACTCGGGCTCTATCGGATGATCGCCATCGCCTTCTCGTTAGCGTCCCTGCCTCAACTCTCTTCCACTAATTGACCCTAGAAGGTTCCATATGGTCAGGACTCCTTTCCAGCACACATCCATCATTTCATTATTTGATCAAATATCGGAGGCCTAGCATATGCTGGGGGTATACCAGTGAATGTAACCTCCATAAATCACTCTCCTGATGCAGCTGGCATCAGCACTGAGTATGCCCCCATGCTAAGGTAGAGGATGAATTACTACTGCATTCAGGGTCAAGTTCAACCCACTCTGGCTACAAGTCACTCGATGATATTTGTTTCTTTTTTCTTCCAACACAGAGGCACTACATTTCCCAGACTCTCTTGCAGTTAGGTGTGGCCATGTGACTCAGTTCCAGCCAACAGGAGGTGAATGGAAATAATAGACCACAAAAATCTTTGGTGCAAACCAGAGAGAAAGGGGGATGAGAGAAGATAGGAGAGGCTGAAAGGGGTATAAATGATGATGGAAGAAGACTTGGCATGGGGTGAACATACAATACATAGACGATGTATTATAGAACTGTACACCTATATAATTTTATTAACCAATATCACCCCAAGAAGTTAAAAATAAATAAAGTTTTAAAAATCACAATTCTCCATGCTCTCTCTTCTGGATAGATAACAGGCTGAATGGAGGGCACATTTAGAACTTCATAAGAAATGGAAAAAGCCTGCTTCCCTAAGTCACCATATGGAAATCTACCCACTGTTTAATGAGCAAGGGGAAAAACAAACAAACAAAGCAAAACACTGCATGAATACACTCGGATATATTAGTTCTCTATTATCACAGTTAGCCTACTTTGTCAAGATACCCATAATCTTCTTTCCAATCTTCTTTCCTCCCCCTCCAACCTAAAAAAAAGTCTAGGATACTTTATATATATTAAAGGCCCTGTGCATGGTTGGGGTCCAGTCAGCCTGGCCAGGGGGGAAGGGGGGGACATGGGCAGTTGGCCAGTCTGCCTGCTGGTCGAACTCCTGGTCAAATTCCTGGTCAAGGGGACAATTTGCATATTAACATTTTATTATATAGGATATACACTGAGTGGCCAGATTATTTAGCATTCAGAGATCATAATAATCTGGCCACAGAGATCATAATAATTTTATACACACCTCTTTCCCTCTCTCCCCACATCATTGACCCATATGGAAATCCTGCTTCATTCCAGGTCTATTTCGAGCCTCCTCCTATCTATGAAGCCTTCTAAATCTGTTTGTGTCTCAGTCACCTCTTCTGTCTTCCCATATCTCTTCTTTTCTCATCTATTCTCCTGTATTTTTGACACATGCAAGACAACACTGATTTTGCCTTCACACTAGATTATTGTTGAGGCAGGAATCAGTCCTGAGAGCCCAACATCCTTCATAAAGTGATGGGCTCAAGGAATATTTCAGTAAAAGTTTGTTTCATGAAGGACAGAGCCACCACTCTGATGAACTCTAGAACCGGCTGAATTCTTTGGAGGTCTTTAACCACAGGATGCTGATGAGAAGGCACAGTTGAGGGCTGTCTGCATGCACTTACATTTGTATGTCCTTGACTTTTGCACGTTTTAGGAAATAATCAAATACTTATTGGTACTGAGACTTCAAAAACCAACAGTCAACCTCAACTTATAAAGCTGCTAGGATTCCTAGGATCTTATGTATTTCGTTGAATATTTGAAATTTCTAGATAGTTAAAATACCTAGAGACTACTGGCGATAGCTGGCCCTTGAAGAACTCAGGGGTGAGAGGTGCCACCCCCCCATAATGTTTTCACATCTTCATGTAACTACTATATTCTCACCTGGTCAACAAAGAAAGGAACGCCAGGAACTTCCCCAGTACTGATGAGTCATGACATTCCCCATTTGTCTCTTTTCAGAAGGCCAAGTTTGTTCTTTAGAGGTGGTCATTTGTTCTGATTGCATATATGAATGCTTCTCCAAAAGTAGCTGCTTTTAAAAGACTTGAAACATGTCCCACGTCTCTTGTCCACCCCCTGACTTTTATTTTAGCTGATTTAGTCACGAACACGATGTTTTGTGTCAAGGTTTACCCTAGGGTAGCAGTTGTTGCGTAATAAAACACTTCCTGAACAGAGCGGTGAGTGCAGGACGATAAAACCATAGCCATGTGCAGGCAGGATGCCTCTCCCACCCCTGAGGACCATTGAGAAGTGGGGGCTGAAACTGTTCTACAGCCTGGAACCTGTCCCTGGACCAGGACACAGAGCCCGGCTCTCTAAAGGGAGGCGAGAAACGGAGCAGTGCATTTGTAACCAGTTACAGCCGATCAGCTGTACTTGGGCACATTCTACAATGGTCAGTTTGTCCAGTGTTCAATTCTTTCAAGAGAATGAAGTTCTCATTGATTCCAGATGAAAGTAGGAACAAGGGGACAAGAACACTGGAGGGGCTGGTGTAGGGGAGAAAAAAACATTGTGAGTGACACAGAATACTTATGCCATAACAAACAGTGGTGCAAAGCTGTTTTTGAGCAGAGCACGCACTCTGAGTTACAAATTGGGTCAAAAAACTTCACACATCAGCCCTGGCCCATTTGCCTCAGTGGCCAGAACACCGGCCTATGGACTGAAGGATCCCTGGTTCCATTGCAGTCAAGAGCATGTACCTCAGTTGCAGACTCGATCCCCAGGCCCAGTCAGGGCGTTTGTGAGAGGCAGCCAAGCGATGTGTCTCACATCAATGTTTCTCTCTGTCTCCCTCCCTTTT